CTACGTTAACTCACATAGAAGAAGAGGCTTCTTTATTTTAGAAGGAAGACCTTTCTGTTCCAGCTACCTCCCGCTTTTTTTGCAACCTGTCTTAACTGTGCTCACACAGCAGAAAAAAAATTATTTCTTTGTCTGTTTAGGTTACATTATGTTCCTCCCCAGAAAGCCCCCCCCTTTTCTCCTTTAAAATGTTTTTCTATCTGACCTCTTTATGAAACAATCGAAGTTTCCTTGTTAATGTTGGTCAAGTAAAAGCTACCTTTTTGTCACTAATAACTATTATTTTTTAGCATTTCTCACACAATTATCTACCAACATTTAAGGTGCTGCTGACCTTTAAATCTCTAAATAGCTTATCTGAGGGATCACCTTTCTTGCTAAGAGCCTACCTAGTTATTTAGATCAGCAGGAACACCTTTTGAAGATGTCCTTTCCACCCAAAGCGCAGCTATCTGGAATGTGAGATAGGACTTTCTTCTGTATGATTTTCATACTACAAAATTCTCCCCCTGGGAAGATGTGTTTGGCAGACTGTGCAGGACTTCTGTTCCTAAGGAAAAAAAGTCCTTCAGACCATACAAGGGCACTCATGTAGGACCTGCTACAACTGCAGCACAATCCCAGGAAAAGACACACTTTAAGAAGTTACTGACAACTATTGAGTGTGTACCCCAGCCACCCCTTTTTCACCTCTGAATTCAAAGTGCTTCATAGCTCTGGTGTTTGGCCTCCGCTCTCCCAATATTTAAGAAAACAGCAAAAACAGATCTCTTTCCCCAGCTTTTAACTATTAAAGCCATTTAAATTTTCTTAATCTTAATGCCGTGTTTTATATTAAAATGTTGTGATTCATTTTAATTACCGTAAGCCACCTAAATGCTTACAAAAGCAGAAAGGAGGAATATAAATTTAATCAAATAAATAAGAGGACCTAACCAAGCAGCTCTGTAGATTAAGTGGCTGATAGTTAAGGAGAGAGGTCTCAATTATCATGAATTTATCCCCATTCTATTCTCAGAATCATATTGTGAAACAGACTAGAGTGACAGATAAGGGCTGTTCCCAAACAAATTGCTCCTAATTCTCCAAAATGGAAACTACTATACATTCTTCCACCTTGCTATCTCCAATTAAAAAAGCAAAGATAACAGCCCTCGTGGGAAAACGAGATATAACTACAAGTAGGTTAACCATATTCTGACTTTAGAAAAGTTAATCCATAGAGGGTGGCTTTTTAATTTGTTCCTTTCTGAACAGCATCAATTCAGAAAAAGCAATGTGTTTGCACCAGCATTTTAAGTCAATGGTCCCCACAGAAGTGTGATTTATACATGGCTGAGCTAAAGCAATATTTGCATGCTCTATATATAGAACGCAGAGGCTCGGTAGATTACAATATTACTCTCCTAGCCCTTGCATCATTCCCTGGAAAAGTTCACAATGCAATTTAATAAAGAAGAACTAAAAGCTTTCCAGCCAGCTAAAAACACATTCCATCCTCAGTTCCAACCTTTCTGTTCTTGTTATTTCCTTGAGTTCAGACTGAATTGCAATTTAATAAAAACAAATGAACAGCCCAGATTTTTGTTTCATATTAGGTATCTCATTTTCACATAATTCCTTTGGCCAACAGGGGCTTATTTCTTCAAAGAACAAAAGTTTAAGAAACCTATTTTTAGACTCCTGTGACTGAATCTGGTAGAATTAAAAAGGAGACTAGTGAGCAAATATTCCAAGCATAGGATACAGAAGTGGTAGAGGAGATAGGAGATCCAGTTTGGTGTAGTGGTTAAAGGCACCAGGCTAGAAACCAGGAGACAATGACTTCTAGTCCTGCCTTTGGCACAAAACCAGCTGGGTGACCTTGGGCCAGTCACTCTCCCTCAGCCATGGGAAGCAGGCAATGGCAAACTACTTCTGAAAAACCTAGCCAAGAAAACTGCAGGGACTAGTCCAGGCAGTCACCAAGAGTCAACACTGATCTGAAGGCACCCCCCGCCCACTGCCAAGGAGGCTTGTAAAAGCAATAATGGAACCAGGCTATCTATTGACCTAACACTCTACAAAGAAGAGGAAGGGATTAAAAATAAACTTTTCTGTTGAAAAAAAGATATATTTCTCAGTTTAGGCCATTAAAAGAAGAAAGGTTAAATACACTATGACTGCCACTAGAATGACAGACGTATAGATGAGACACTATTGTTGCTCCGTATTATCTGTAGAACCACAATGTACTGTACATACTGCAGCGTCCCTCTTCTTGCTATATAGTTCAATTCCTTCCTACCTCTTGATGTGAGATAAACTATAATTAATGCAATCAAAGCCAAATAAATTACACTTTATTTGCAGGGCACATTTTGGCATAGTACATGGGTGAACCCAGCCAATATGATTGGTAAATCATGTTTTATGGTTTAGCATTATATGTGAAGCCAGCCAATTATAGATTTTTAACCATCATGATTAAAACAAATCTTTAATATGATATGTGTAGTAAAAGTGGCCTTAATTCATTTCACCTAGAACTCTAGCAAGGCATTTATAGCATCTGTTTTCTCTAGGAGAAAGAGATTTATACATAAGAGAATAATGTACAATTATAATTAGTTGTTATTTAGTCTGGGAGCAGCAATGGTGATTGGCTACTCAATACGGAAGGCCAAAGATCTCCCAGTTCAATCAGAGTAATCTGCTGTGACACCTTGGTTCAGAGAAAAGCCTTTGAAAATAAAAGGGAGAATGTTATTGCCATTCCTTTAGAATTTACGACAGAAATGTTTTTAAGCTCTGCCATTACAAGGATCCTCCAGGTTTGGGATGGTTACTAGTTCACATGTCCCGTTAGTATGAAATCATACGTAATCCTTCCAAAACAGAAGTTAGGAGCATGCAGATCAGCCAAGATCAAGAGCTAAGGCTGGAAAATTGCAAAATTTCATTTAGATCTCCAGACTGATTTGAGGAGTTCAGAATTGCAATTCAAACTGTCAAAGTGACTCAATCCAGTTTAAAGATTAAATATGATAAAAGTGTGTGTTTATCAGGAATGTCAATTGATTCAATCTGACACACTGAACTGTTTTGATTTCGTGATTCAATCTGAAAGGACAATTCAACCAAATTGTCTTTGAGTCTAAGCTTTGCACAGCCCTAACAGAGCTATCCTTGCCTGTAAAGTAGCATTAGACTACTGATCTGTTTTCCTTGCACTTCTGGCAAAGATGCACTTATTTTTCATTTATAAGCTCACTGGTATATTTATTGCCTCCCTACTAGAAGAATAAAAAAAAAAATCATTTATTTACACTATGAGCAGATGGCCTTGGCTGAGGCACCTACTTGTGGAAAATATCGTACTTCTTGTATTTGCTTTTTGATAATCTTCTATTCCGTTTGCACTTAAAAGGGCAGCAAAATTTCTTTTAAAAGTACAGTCAGAAAAGGAATGGAAACAGCTGTCTCCTTCCATCACATTTTCCTCTCCTAGAAGTACAGTAGCTATGGATCATTTTTTAAAAACGTAGTTTAAATATGAAGAAAGGAGAGTTGCAAAGTGAAACTGGTCATTAGAAAATGCCCTCACCTTTGTATACACACGAACACAACCATATCTCAGCATTTTTAAAAAGATTAAAGCTTCTTTAAGGGGAACAAAAAATAACAGGAAAGATACCTTTCATGCTTTTATTTTAACCTTTTTGTTCTTAACTGCCTATGCCCCAAGAATATTACCATTTTAAAAAATCAGCCATTGTTAATATATGTGCTTAAGTAGCATCATGTTTCAAATCTTATGATAACATGTGCCACAAAACATTTGCAATACCATCTACTTTCCAAGGATGATCCATATGAAGCACCTTCCAGCACCTATGATTTTGTTTCTTCCCATAATGCCAGAGATTTTCCCACAACCTATGGCATTGTGGGAAAAACAAAATGGCAGCTGACATGTGAACTGCAACCACCAGTTCCCAGTCTCCTTGAAAAGCCTAAATGAGGCCAATGGTAATGTGTGAGCCCTGCCAGAATACTGGAATCCCAGAAGCTGCCCAAGGATACTTTCTGCTGATGGCTGGGTCTGCACACCTCTACGTGCTGCTTGTTAGGACCACCATATAGGGGCTGAAAATACTGACATGACCAGCAGATGGCAGGAGAGAAAGTTTATGCAACTCTTTGTTGCCATCTAGTGGTTTGCACTGCTTTTTCCACTTCAGATACGGTGGCCTACAACATGCTGAGTGTTCCTGTTGAGATAGGCACAGAGCTAACTCACTCAAGGGTGGGCTATCTTTTGGTGGTCCCAATCCGCAAAGTGGGTGGAACCATATCATATATGTGGGTGGGTCTGGTGTAGGATGAATTTGGGTGGGTTCTTTTGCTTTTTTAAAACTGTAAATGCTAACTTTTATGAAGCGTGAAAGACCTAGTTTCCCAGCTCAAAACAGCAGGAAAATGTGCTACCAGTTTTCAGCAATCATCACCAGAGGGGTTCCAAATGCCACAAAAAGGGGAAATTGTAGCATTCTTGTATCATAGGTTGCCCTTCACCACACTAACCAAAACTCAAATCATACCATAGTTTAATACAACGTGTCAGCAGTACTAAAGCAGCCATCTTGCGCCACATCATCAAGTCCTCAGTAAATGGGCATATAGATGCCAGTGGATCATTACTGAATGGCTGCTATGCCACTATAGGCTATTATCTTACCTTTATAACTCACTGTTTTGGCATTCTTTAAACGTTCCATACATTTTTTTTCTTCTTCCTGGATTTCAAGTTGTATTCTGCATTCTGGATGAATACTGTTTACCTGTTGGATAAAAACAGAAGCTAGCTTTAAAACATTTGATCTTGGAGAAAGTATACCAATGCTAGCAGAACCAACAGGGAAAAAAGACATAACAGGAAGCTTTTATTTATTGCTCTAGCTGTATGCCTGGAGCAATCCACACTTCTTACAAAAATTATGAAAGGTAGTTCTGTTGTTATTAGACCCACAGTGCAGGCTGGCTGTAATACTAGGGCTATTACATCAGGCTGCAAAAATCTGGTTGAGTTCCGGATCTCCTTATTGCCATCTTGCGGTTATTCAGAATTTTGCAGGACAAATATGGTAGCCATGCATAATGGCCAAGGTTAATGTTTTGGCTACCTTTTTAAAAAATGGCTACTTCACACTCAGCTGTAAGATTGGCTTAGCAGCAAATGCACCTGCTGGTTCTCCTGCAAGAGAGCATAATTAGTAAGACATCTATAGCTTGATTAGCTAACTTAAGTTTCACCTGAGATCACAGAATTCTTCTACCCAGAAGAAAACAGAGAACAAAGTCATTAACAAAACAAAGAGGTTCCGTGTTCTAGTTTCTTTCTGATGAAAGACACCAGAGCCCCACATTAACAAGTTATGCTAAATTTGACTAACAAACTTGTTCACTGCCAAACTATCCCTATAGCTTAGAAAAAGCATAAACGTGGTTCACTCATAATCATGGCTTGTTTGGTGTTGGCTTACACAAAACCACCCTTTGCCATTTGTAAATTATAGTTTATGGCACAGTCTGTTTTAAGAATCCAGCTAATTTTGGTTTATTCAATAATGCAATGCCTATCAGAATTATTTATCTCAAGCCCTATCATAATTAAATTTTATTTGCATAAGTTTCGCTAAGCCCTGCTTCTTGGAAAACACTAGTCAGTATGTCTTAGGCACTGACTAATCCCAGTTTGGGTGCTTTGGCTTGCAAACAGCCATCATAATTAAAAAGTTTTATATTATATGATAAACTGAAACATCTTCAAAATGCTTAGAACGCTAGAAGGATTATAGCAACTGATTAGCTATAGCAATAGAAGTTTCATTTCTTAAATTTTAATTGGGAACTCGTTGCTTTTGAGGTAACTAGTAAAAGGTATCTGGTTCCAAAAGGTGTCTCCCAAGGAACTATGTCCAAGAGGTCATGACTTGTACATGGCAAGATCTGAATGTCTGATTTTCAGTTAAAAGCTGTCTCTTAACCACTATGGTTGGCTTCACATATCATGCTAAGCCAAAGGTTAGTGAATATACCACCATAGCCAAAATTAAACAAAACAAATAATGGCTTAGTGTTATGCAAACCTAGCCATTGTGATTTATTCAATAGTTTGGCTGAACATAGTTTTAATCTGTGTTTCATCAAATGCAAATTTCAGCACATAAGCTTTTGCAAAGCTGGATTTGGAAATGCCACCTTGTTGTACCGTTCCTGATTCCTTACTTGAAAAATAAAACATTAGGTGACAATCAGGACCCCAAAGCTATTTAGAGGTGTTGACCAAAGTGTCTCGTAGCTTCACATAAAATAGTTATAAGCTAAGGAAATAACCATTTTTAAATCAAATCTGTTTAACTTGGTGAGAAAGAAGGAAGAAAGCTTGAAAATCCAAAATACTCAAACCTTAACATAATGTTTTAGTCTTCTTCCCTTTCTTTATGGTTCTTATGTTACTCCCTTACTCTTTATGGTCCAAGGTGATCTGCTCTGTGTGTGTGGGTGTGTGTGTGTGTGTAGGAGTCAACAAAGTCAAGATGACAGCTGTCCCTGCGCAATCAAAGTCCCTCTCCTTTAAATGTGTTGCAGGATACAAAAAGGGGCAGCGTTTTGATCATGTGGGCACAGCCATCAGATTGACTTTTTTGAAATCTCCCCCTGCAGACGCCCATGTTATAACCATTATATTCTGATCTGGAATACCAAATAAGTACCTCCTTCATTCTGAGAACTGTTTCTTTAAAGATGGTTAGCAGAGGGACAACTTTGGTGAGAGCTAGGTTGGTGTAGTGGTTAAGGTACCAGGCTAGAAACCCAGAGACTGTGAGTTCTAGTCCTGCCTTCGGCACAAAACCAGCTGGGTGACCTTGGGCCAGTCACTCTCTCAGCCCTGGGAAGGAGGCAATGGCAAGCCACTTCCAAAAACATTACCAAGAAAACTGCAGGGAGTTGTCCAGGCAGTCCCCAGAAGTCAACATTAACTTGAAGGCACAAAAAATAAATAAGAAATAGCAAAGGGACAAACACTGAGTTGTATCACTCAAGGGGAAAACTTTTTGTCCGCTGCAAACCACACCTTTAACACATGTAGCAGAGTGTTGTCAGTACACCACAAAATGCCTAAAACGCTAGTTCCTGGTCATACCTGAAGAAGCAAGTATTTTCTTGCTTCCTACCTTTATCTCAGGCATCAAAAGATTATGTGTTCCTCACAATCATTTTGGCAGAGTACAGCAGAATTCTATTTAAAGTAATGGAAAAGCATGAGTGAGAGTCTTTTGCTAATTTCTGAGCTCTCTCCCCATGCCACTGATTCTCTTCCCAATTCCAGCATCAAGCTTACGGCAAAGTAAAGCCTGGCTTTACAACTCTTTGGATATGTGCTACAGTCCAAATGGGACATGGCATGACTGAGCTGATCCACTAACTGAATTAAATTCATCTTCATGAGCTTGCCACAACTCAATAACCTGAAGCTCTCATAATTTCTACACTATTCTTTGTTTCAGAAGGAACTTCATGGAGGTCAAGGTTTAATCTCTGATATGTGTGAATAAAATTGCTATCTTAATTTGGGCCCATCTGTACAGCCCTAGGGAGCATTCTACATTGTAGACCCTACATTAAACAGAGGGATGGATAAGCAAGTTTGAAGTCTGTTTTAATGTCAAAATTCCATTATTCTAAATTAGGGCTACCAGATCCATACTGTAAAAACCTGGATGAACACTAGATGACAACAAAGAACTAGAGTTTTCTAATGGTTGTTCGCATGTTTACAACTGAGATTTGTTGGCCCTGTCCAAGTATTCTATCATTGAGCTGCAATTCCTCCCCAAAGATTTTGGTTTCCTTTAATCTTTATGTCCAGTATTTGAGCCAGGATAATCGCATACTCAAAGACTACACTCACATTTAACCTAGGCTACCAAATTAACCTATTTTTCTGGGTTCATGCAGTACATTGAATCATAAATAAAATAGGCTTACAGAAACATAATAAGCCACAAAAGTTTAATGCTAATGGAATTAAGTCTAGCATATTGTATAAATGCTTCTTCAGGATTTGTAACCAATGAAGGATCTTTTACCAACAAAACCAAAGTCTTGTTAATTTCTGCACAGATGTCCTCCCAGCAAAAAAGCTGGGTAACTATGAAAGAACAGTTCCTTAATGTCGTGTTCCTTTATGTCTATGCTTGCTTACTTAAAAACGAAGAATAGGTAACTCCATCAGTAATTATTACTGCTAATGGAAATCATGAAAGAAAATTAAAAATATGGAATTCTGTAAGATGCAGTGACAGCAATCAACCTGAGCAGCTTTAAAAGGGAATCACAACATTTCTAAGATAAAAAAAGTACTTGTCAAAAATAAAGACTTACAAATTAGGGGACTCTTCAGAAGGATGTTGTATCAGTTAAAACACCGTTCCAGACCTGATGTCAGCTTAATTTAAGAACTGATCCAATTTAGTTGTGGGTTGCTATAGCATAACCTCAACTGCAAAATATAGAGGCTTCTTTTTGCAAAAGTGAACCTCTGCTGAGTTTGTAGACAATTTTTTTCCTCATCCCTGTGCCTGAACTTCAGCCACCCTAGGAAGTCATTTAAGAGCAATGTTGGCTCTCTAGCCGGGATAAATCTTATCTATTTCTCCCTCCTCTTCAGTAGGAGAGAAGCAAGTCTGCATGGCCTGGGTTACTTGGATTCTGTATTTCTTCTATTTTCTCTTTGTTTGGACTGGGGAATGAAAAGATTTTGGTTACTCCAGTGGAGTGGGACCATGTCTTTTTATTACTGGAGAAAATCCAGAGATTTTACTGGTCTTTCCCTAAGATGACTAAGCTCTAAGCTTCAGTTAAACTTTTTTGGGGTTGTACAGTACTTCACACATATGACCATAAAAAAGTATACCTCATACATATCCACAAACACAACTATTCCTTTGTTTAAATAATCAGCATCTCATCAACTTGCTCATAGAGGTAAAACACTTTCCAGTGTACTCCTTCAGACACCAAATTATCAATTTATAGAGAATTCTAACACCTGTATCAGCTCTCCAAATTCCTACCAAGTAGCTTCCTGCTTGTAATCTGAAAACATGTCTCAGAACCATTTGTGATAACAGAAAAAAGGTTAGCTTTACCACATTAAGAAGGTTAGCTTTACCACAAAGTATTATGAAGCAATTGTGGTGAGCATAGAAATCCCAATTTGTACCATATTTGCATCATTAAAAAAAGATATTCCTGTTTGAGAAATATTATGAACTTTTTTGCTTTAGATGCAACAGTATTTCAGTGCTCATCTATCTGATGAGTTAACTAAGCCTGGCCATCTCAAAAAGCTAAGCTGAGTTGGGTCTAGTTAGTAGTTGGATGGGAGACTATCAAGAAGGTGTAAGGCTGTAAATTAGAGTGGGAAGTCAAAAAACCATCTTGGAAGAAGATGATAACAAGCCACTTTGGTACTGCAGCCAAGAAAACTAGAAGGACATATCTATGAAGTCATCAAATCAAGTTTGACTCAATGGAGACTTTAACTTTATATGAGTTAGTAAACTAAACTAAAATCTTTGGAATGTGTGTATCTTACACTGCATGAATAAGAGAATATACAATAGGCAAAACATTTGTATAAATTGTAACAATAAACATTCACCTGATATTTTTCTTATGCCACTTCATATTCACTCTAGGTTTAGGACAACTAATACTGTATAGTAGAATGAGGTGATCCTCATGATAGAAACCAAGTGTCAGGGAAG